TAGTAACGACTAATTTACCCTAACAAAACAGTCGTGGAAATGCAATCTGATGAGAGCAGCTGCAATCCCAGAATCTCGAACATAGGCTCGATTCACCGCATCTTTCACCATAGCCTCTGCATTGTAGGACGGAACAGCGTGTTCCGATGGATAAAACCCATTTTTCAGAGGTGCAGAATTAATAAATGAATTATTAATGCACAAAAATATAAATACCAAATAAGAAAAAAACTTCATAGTCTTTTATGTATATATGTGTGAGTAGATTTTGAATGATGTAGATTGTAAGTGTGGAGGACACAAGCCTTGGAGCAATGCAATTTATAGAGGATGAAGTTTCATAGGTTGGTGAGTTTAATTAATGTTAAAATATTTGGCAACATGCAATTAATAATAAACAAATGAAAAGGCGTGTGGCGTCCACACGATTCTTTCTTAATGTACATTGAATCTCAAGATTAAAATAAACATAATTTTTGAAGAGTGAGTGTACTATCAAGAATTTTAATATGGAATTTTGAAACAATGACTCGTTCAAACTTGTTGTTTAATGCAACAAGCCAATTATTAAATAAATAAAAAAACCTTGGCCCATAGAATTCCAGCCCATAGATTTTTTTTGAAAAAGGTATATGCAAATTTTGACGGCCCGGTCACATGGGTCGGTTTTATCGGCCATCCAACCCACTTTTCTTGGCCGACAATCGATAATTATCTACTCATATAGTCGGGTTGGTAATATTTTCACGGTCGGTGTATGCAAATGATGTCAAAGTTGGCGGCCTTGTCACATGCGTCGGTTTTATCTTATCGGCCATCCGACCCACTTTTCTTGGCTGACAATCGATAATTAACTGACACATATAGTCGTCTTGTTAATATTTTTACGGGTCAGTTTTATCGGCCATCCGACCCACTTTTCTAGTCGGGTTTGTAATATTTTCACAAATAGACTTCCACAATGATTCTTCCTAATTAAATAGGAAAAATCAAATTGGAGCTATCATGAAGTACAGCACTTTATCTATTCATCCCTTATAAGTTATAGCTTATAACTCTTTCATGTTAACAATAAACCAAACAAGTAAATTACCAAAATGCACATCAAATTTGTGTCATTGCAAACTACAAATCTTCTGGTAATGGTAATTAGATACTAATTGACAGAATTAAAACAGGCAGAGTCCTCATAGTAAAAATCACAGACAATCAAAAGCAACAACCTTAAAAAAGCCGAGAAAATATATACGCGTAACTAGTTATCTTCGGCTGACTTGGAGCCATCTTTCCCCTTCAGTGGAGTTGAAGGGGATGGAGAACCTTCTTGCCCCATCTCAGCTCTCAGATCGTTAATGCTCTGCTCCAGCTCGTCAATTCGGTTTCCCATCTCATCGAGTACAACGTAGTTAAGGAATCCAAATATTTATAAATATATTAGTTACATAAGATTGAGAAAATTCGAATATTCTGCGTGACGAGTGCTTTGTTTCCCATGCACGATTTTCATTTAGTGTATCGTGTACGAATTTGCACAAAGCCCTCAAATTGGTAAAAATCGACAATAAGCATGGTTGACAGTTTGAACAATGTAAATGACACGAGGATGCATTTACATGTCAAGATTTGTGTTTGTGTTACATAGAAAAATGAATAAAAGTATGGTACTCGTTAAAGGATATTTTTACCGATGATGGACTCCGACATTGTTTGAAACCTCGATTGCTGCAAAAACGAGAAAAGGAAATAGTTAGGATGATAATTGATAAGAGTAAACTTCAATGAATGGAGACTTAAGTATGGTACGAGCTGCTCACCATTTGCTGAAGAAGGTTTTGCACCTAAACATTTAAAAGATGCGCGTTAGCAGAAGTACGATTACCGATTTAATCAAGTCAACGTTTATTAAACAGCGGGAAAGAATATTAAAAGAAGAAAATTAATGCTGCAAACATATTGAAACATGCATGAAGCTGAATATAGAGATTTCAATTTCATCGAGTTGATAAAGATTGCAGAATACACCGGTCAACCAAATATAACAGTTCAAATAGGATAGAACTCACGAACGCAGTCATGTCAGCAGCACTTTGTTTAGTATTGTCCGCATCATGCCCATCCTGCAAACAAACCATGAAGGAATACGAAACGTTAAAATAAAATATAAAAAAATAAAATAAAATACTTCATGAAGAAAATACCGAAATACCAACTGAATAACTATATATCCACTATATTGTAGCGAACATCAAGTTCGAGCAATACCGTAAACTGGAAAATCTTCAACAAGAATATTCAAACACACAGCAACCCCAAATCGAAAACAATTACCACATTAACTTCTAAAAATGGAACAGTATAAATCCTTCGTAAATGAAAAAAAAAGGCGAAGATTCGTAATACGCTCGCTGAAACAATTTCAATGGCAACGTGATATAATATATACCATTAATGATCATAAATTTCTTGCTAAATAGAAGCAGAGTAAAGCATCCCAACTTAAATAGACATTAACAACACCACCACAATTTTTTACATTGTTCCAATCCACCGTAGTTCCGAATAGATCTACCAGAACTCGAATTTCGTAATTTTTATTTTCCAATTATAGGTGTTAAACATTTTACATACTCATATTTACATTCACGAATCTGTGAGTAACAAATAAAATTGAAAAAAAACATAAACAAAAATCAACCGTATACTGAGAGAGAGAGAGAGAGAGAGAGAGAGAGAGAGAGAGAGAGAGAGAGACGAAGAGTTCCATTAAACCATTTATTTCAACATTTTCACAAATTAACACTACAACAAAAATATCGCATCCAGAATAAACATCAAATTCAGAAATGCACGGGGAAATAAAACAAAAATTCGAACACTTAATCGACGAGATTACATAAAATCTGAACCAAAGTAAAGATCCGAGAAATACCATTTTACCGGCAGTGGAATCTACGCTTGAAATGCCCTATGCAGAGAACTCCGAATTGAGATTTTGTGAGATTTTGAATGTTTTGTGAGCTTGAATTTTGAAATATGCAGGAGCTGAAATCAGCTAATATGAAATAGACCGGGCCGGGCCGGGTCTCTCAATAGATGGGCTTTTACTCTAATTGGGCTGGGCTTATATTCGGATCTTTCCTTAATTATCCGTCTGATATTTTCAGATCGAATCAAACCCAAATTTGATGGGCTTTACATAGGGTAAATTGGAAACAAGTTATAGAATTTCACAAATTTAATTTTTAATTGACAAATATATAATTTTTCAAATTTCGAATTTTATATTATTTTAAATAATTTCAACAATTGTACCAAAAGGCGAAATCTCTTAACCCAAAAGATGGTCCATGAAGTAAAACACATTTACTGGGAGATCTAGCTCACTAAGGCCCACCAAAAGGCACGGCCCAGAAAAGACAACCTATTCAAAAGACCTGTCATCATCGCAATGTCCGAGCAACGAAATCACGCTACGGAGAGTCGAGTTGAGATGCGGCGCTTGGAGGGGTGCCGTAGCGATCGGCCATGTCCAACTCATTAATGACTCTGACATGTATGGAAGGGCGCACTAATGATCCCGGCAGGCGGTTTTGCACACACGTTGATGTATTAATTGCGCTGACACCAACATTTAATGTTCGATTGACCATCGACAGACATGAAAGGGGAAAAGCTTGTGGAAATGTTAAACATGTTACATACTAGCGGGCATTCGAGCGGTTGATTAACTGAGAATTATGACCTGGACCGCCCGGAGGAAGGAATAAAGTTGGTAAGAAGGATGACGGAAGCGACGACAAGTATATGCTTGCCTTGGTTTTAAGGAATTTTTGGGGTCCAGATGAGAAGATTATGAGTAGAAGCATACCCCCTCCTACGAAAGATTATAAATCCACCTGCGAAAATACATATCGATCGATTTTAACTTGACCGTCAGAGTGCTAACTCCAACATCAATCATGTTTCCTTCTCTCAGCTACTCGGTCACATTCGAGAGCCTCAAGTTCCACTTACCTAACAGCTGTAACGAGACTCTCAATCGAAGTGTTTTAAGGGAGGCTCACTATGTATTTTATATTATAGGTGATTTCAGATCCGAAAAAAATCCGATTTTTGAACAACGACGCCTTCTCCATTGATTATTTTTATTTCCCAACAAAAAAATTGAAATTTGATTGGCAAACAATTTGGACTTATCACAATTGGAATATTCGGACCCAAACAGCCCCTAGAGCCGGCCCACTTCAGGTCATCCCACCACCGCTACGCCTAATTACACCATTAATAAACTAAATTCGACAAAACATAAAATTAGAAAATAAAATAAAATAAAATAAACAGGAAAATAAATAAATTAAAAAAATAAATAAAATCATTTTGTACTATTTTGAAAGAAATTCCGGTCTGCATTTTCACCTCGGCACCTTCTTCGTTTCTTCTGCATTTTCTTCCCACTTTCTTACCTTTCACCACTCTCCACCGACACAATTTTTTTCATCTTCCCATAAAATACCCTTCTCTTTTCACTTAATTCCTTCCTTGCCCCCATAAAAAACCAGATCCAATTTTCTCTCCAATATTCCCTCATATACAACTTCACCCTAGATGACAGAAAAATCCAATCCCCCAATTTCCCAGCTCCATTTTTCCACTTGAAGAAAAACCCTCTAATTTCGGGAATTGGGGTTTGTGTTTTCCTTCTTCTTCTTCCCAAATCGGATTCTGCTTTCTTCAGCTAGGGTTTTAATAAGCCCGCCATGTTGGAACGGGTCCTCGGCCCGCGCTACGCGAGGCAATTCCAGCGAATCGTCCGCAAGGGTAAGCTAACCCTCCTCTGCCTCGTCCTCACGGTGGTCGTTCTCCGCGGAAATCTCGGCGCCGGAAAATTCGGTACGCCGGAGAAGGATCTGGACGAGATCCGTGAAACGTTCTCCTACATCCGCCGCCGCGCCGAACCCCGCCGCGTCCTGGAAGAGGCGACGACCGCCGTGGAGCAGAAATCGGGTGGAGGTACCGACAATGGCGGAAACAGCTACGCCGAGTTTGATATAACCAAGGTTTTGAAGGACGAAGAAGACGGCGTCGAGGAATTCAAGCGGGATCCATCCCAGCCGTACGCTCTCGGCCCGAAAATATCCGATTGGGATCAGCAGAGATCCGAATGGCTGACAAACAACCCTAATTACCCCAATTTCATCACCGACAAAAAACCTAGGGTTTTGTTGGTCACCGGTTCTTCCCCGAAGCCATGCGAGAATCCAGTGGGAGATCACTACCTATTAAAGTCGATAAAAAACAAGATCGATTACTGCCGACTCCACAGCATCGACATCTTCTACAACATGGCTTTGCTCGACGCGGAAATGGCAGGGTTCTGGGCGAAGCTGCCGTTGATCCGGAAGCTTCTCCTCTCCCACCCTGAAATCGAGTTCCTGTGGTGGATGGACAGTGATGCAATGTTCACTGACATGGCTTTTGAGGTACCGTGGGAGAGGTACAAAGATCACAACCTCGTTATGCACGGGTGGAACGAAATGATTTATGACGAGAAGAACTGGATCGGTCTGAACACGGGTAGTTTCTTGCTTAGGAATTGTCAGTGGTCTTTGGATATGCTCGACACGTGGGCACCTATGGGGCCCAAGGTAAAGATCCGAGAAGAAGCAGGGAAGCTTCTTACGAGGGAGTTAAAGGGTAGGCCTACTTTCGAAGCTGATGATCAGTCTGCAATGGTGTATATACTTGCTACTCAGAAGGAGAAATGGGGGGATAAAGTTTATCTCGAAAACCACTATTATCTTCACGGGTATTGGGGGATTTTGGTCGATAAATACGAGGATATGATTGAGAGTTATCACCCTGGATTTGGTGACCATAGATGGCCACTTGTCACTCATTTTGTGGGTTGTAAACCGTGCGGAAAATTCGGTGATTATCCGGTTGAAAGGTGTTTGAAGCAGATGGATCGGGCGTTTAATTTCGGGGATAATCAGATTCTGCAGATGTACGGTTTTACTCATAAGTCGTTGGGAAGTAGGAGAGTGAAGAGGGTTAGGAACGAAACGAGCAATCCTCTTGAAGTGAGGGATGAGCTTGGATTGCTTCACCCTGCGTTTAAAGCTGTGAAGGTAGAACCATCTTCTTGATTGATTGCACATAATAAAAAAAATTGAACAAAAAAGGAATGGATTAGGGTTTGATTCAAATCTTGATTTGGGTTTTTTTTGGAGTTTGGATCATACTAGTTGTCGTTTTTTGTCTTTATCGTTTCGTGTTATCTATCACGGTGTTCTTAGGTGCTCGTATTGTTGTATTCGTTCTTTTTTTTTATAGCAACAAAATTGTCATGTGACATGTGACATAGTTCTTCTGTTACATAATTTTGAACCGGTTACTACAATTTATTTTCTTCTCTTTCGTGGCGTACGAATCTAAACGGAAAAGGATATTGCCTTTTTATTGTCATGGATCTCTATACATTAAGGAATAAATTAGCTTCTATTTTAGAAGCTATAATTATTACATCCCACGGTCATTTCTTGAGATTTTGCAAATTGGATTACATTTCATGTCCACGTTTATTGCTTAGTTACGTATTTGTGATTCGTAGTAATTTCACCTTGCTTTGTTCTGTCTCCCATACTCGACGTAAGTATGAGTTATTGTGCGTTTTCGTTTTTTTGGGACAAGATTGTTTATTCAACTTCATTAGTTGAAGCTGATATTCCGGTATGAATAAACCGCAACGGAACTGTAAATACAGTTGTCTGCTATACCTCATTCTTTTAGTTTTGCACAGTTGACTCATATCTTATATCTGGTAATAACAGAGTTTTATGATTTTTATTCGAACATTAGTTCGATTTATAATCTCCGCTCTCGTGTAATAGCCCACGAACTAAACGTGAGGTAAAATAAAAGAGGCAGTACATCATTCTCTTACCTTTGTACATTTAACTCATATATCTGGTAATAACAGAATTTCATGTTTTTGTTATTATTATTATTGTTTTGGGAAAATAGTCAAGATTTAACAATTTGGGATGATTAATGAAAGCTGGTATGAAGTTGGCAATTGGGAAAGTTGAATCAAGAATCTAATTTCTTGGCAACTTTATTGTTTATAGCAAGAAAAAAAAGGAAAAAAAGAAAAAAAGCAAAAGCTGGAAGCACATGCTTTTGCTTTAGCATAGATCCAAATATCTGATTTATTCTCTCACTATGTAATGTTGACACATTTCTTAAATTTGGTGCTTTTGGCATCACATTACTTTATTCCTCATTTTGAATATTATCTATTACATGGGAAATATTCAAATTAGTGAAAATTATTTAGCAACCTAACTACAAATTCTTTACTAAATAAAAACTTTGCAGTTACACCAAGTGCAGCATCTCGTAGACCGTGTAATCGTAGAACGTAATCAATGTAATTCTCGTTCTAATTTTGACTTAAGTTTAGAAACAAGCATTAGCATTTTGAATCGGGGGCAACTATTTTGAATACTAACTTTTGCTTAGTTGATACCAAAAAAATAGA